TCGTCATTGCTTTATTAATAAAAAACTAAAAATTTCTATTCTCAAATATGAGTGCGTCTAAATTTATGAAAACCACTGTATATATATATATATATATATATATATATATATATATATATATATATATATATATATATATATATATATATACATATATATATATATATATATATATATATATATATATATATATATATATATATATATATATATATATATATATATATATATATATATATATATATATATATATATACATACATATATCTATATATATATATATATACATTTGATTTTTTTAATTATTTTCAATTGAACATTTTTAAGTTAAAATTTCTTTGGTTGAGACTTGACTATTTTCATAATTCAAACTTTAGAAACTTTGGAAACTTTCTTACAAGAAGAAAAAGGGCGGACAGTGATATGTAAGTATACTGACTGAAAAGATCTTATCAATAACTTTTGAAGAAAACTTGAAAGATTAATTGCTCTTTTGTTTTTAATTTGAAGTATTGCTGTTGCCATCAAATGTCAAATCTAGTCGTGTCCCACTAATCTACCAGTTTCTTTAACATATACAAACACCTGTGATTGTCAGCAATTCTTTTTACACCATTCTTGTTGCAAACTTGCTTCATTTTAAATAATCTTAACCTGCAGCAAAGGGACAACCAACCTTGTAGTTTATCTAGATAGTCTGCGAGAAGAGATTATATTACTATTCACCCCACTTGCATATTGTGCTGAGGATTAACTTAATTGTCATGTAATGCTATAATGCTACAACCAACAACAAAAAACAACAATGAAAAGATTACAAACGATTAAAGATTACAAAACTCTATAAAGTATGAAACATGAAGATCACAGTTGGAGAAAACATGGAGTGCAAGATCACAGTTCTCTATTTGATTTTTATTTCTTTATAGCTTTATAGCTGACAGAAAACTTTTTGAGTGACCCAATAAAACTCTGTCAACATGATTTTTATTTCAAGAAATTATCTAATCTAAAATAAGGGATTTTATTTAATAAAGCTTTAAAATTTTAAAAATTTTACTGTTTTTTAAAAATATAACTATTAAATATCTTTTTAATTATAATTAAAAACATTTTTTAAACAAAAAGACAACAATTTAATAATCACTGTTTATTTCTGTATTTACATACTTACCACTTGCAAAAGAAAGACTGGTAATGATTTTACTGTTTCTATTACTACAGTTAGTATCTATTAAGAAATAATTTATTATGATATGTATAAAACTGGTTAAAGTAAGTATGTTTACAAGGATTGAATCTTTAAACAACAGTAATGAATTATTTATGGTTTTAATTTATCTATTTTGATTTGTATAATATTAATTTTTTAATAATTAAAAATTTTAAAATAATTTTAGAATGAAATCAACAAAAAGTCTGTAGGAACCATAAAACTTGCAACCATTTGCTTAATTTACCAAAAAAATAAGAAAATGTCATTGATAATTTCATTAAACTGAATTGCCAACTGATCAAATCTAACAGATTTCAACATTTGATGAAGAAAATCACTTCAACTCTCAGAGACATCAATTTAATGATAAAGTTCACTTTAACTCCAAATAAAAAATTTTGGATTTACTGTTTCCTGCATAAGATGATTTGTTGATAATATCAATGTAATTGTACAACTTAACTTACAATGTAAAATTATATTTATTATTACATATATATAAACATAACAAAGCAAACCTTTCTTCTCTTGTGTTTTCTGGTAAAGTTGACAATTCTATCAGAAACTGTGAATACTTCAACATGTCACCATGCTCTTCATAAAAATTGAGCTGGAGATTGATCAGTTTTTTTAATACCATACCAATATCAAATTTTGATCTTAAAAATAAAATAAAAATTGTATACATGTATACAACAAAATTTTTTAACAAAATTTTTTGTTTATTTATCTATTTAGATTGATGTTACTACCCTCTCTCAACCTTTCGACTACAAAAAACAAGGCTTAACAAAGGCTCAAAGACTAAGCCTTTCAGAGAAACAAGCTAGGCATAGTACTACCAGGAAATATTAATGAATCCAACTGTGATCAAAATGTGAAAAGTGGGGAGCTTCTTCCTTACAAAGCATGTGCCCTACCACCGCACCACTACAACATTTTGTAAATCTTTGTTTTTGTAAGCACTTTATATTTTGTTACTCGTTCTTTATGAATAAGTTATAAATTAAAATTTAAGTTAAGTGAACTAGGTTTAGTGTGTCAGTGTTAATGCTTCAAAAGTTAGTGACGTTTTAGTGTAGTGGCCAAACAGTCGCCAAGAAGGCCGTTACAGTCAAAGAGGCTAGATTTTATAACTCCAAACTTCTCACTTATGAAGCAACCGATCTACCACTACAAATTAAACCATAATTTAAATGCACATTTATAAATTCTAAATGTAACTTTTTGAAGTAAAAATAAAGTATTGCACAAACATTTGGTAACTTTTTGTACTAAAAAGCAAAAATTTTAACTTAAATTTTATAGTTCAGTAAACTAAAGATTGACAGGTCTGTTTCGAAATGAATCTTGCGCAGACCTGTCAACCTTCAGTTTACTGAACTATTAAATTTAAATGAATAAGTTTCTTTTCCGCTTTTTAGTACAAAAATAATTATAGTTTTTAGCAAATGTTTTTGTTACACTAACAGTCAAAAGTTTCACTTGCTTTATTTTTTAACTCTACATAATTTTCTTCAAAAAATGAAGCTCCTTTAAAACTCATGTCACATTTATTTAAAGTATTTATTTTGAGATTTTATTTATAGAGTGACTACACACATATTTGTGTATATAGAGTGTAGATTTATCATCATTTCAATAATGAATACTGTGGATATACTTTGATGTAATAATTGGGTATATTTTGCTGTAACAACTTAATATATTTTGCTGTAAAACTTGATTAACTTTTTTTTCACTGTTGTTGTTTATAGTTTTTTTATACAGAAGGGTAATCGAAACATTGTTTTTTTTTCAATATTGTAACATTCATAGAATAAATATTATAAATGAGGATTAATTTAAAGTATTTTGTCCTAGTTTTAAAATTTGAAGACAAATATATATTTTATGTTTTGATTGAAGAAAAATTGGTAAAAAAGCAGTGCTAAGTGTACAATAAATAGGGAGAATTTTATTAATAATTTTAATGAAGGTTATTCAACACAAAAAATTGCTTTAAAAACCAATTTTTCTCAAAATGCAGTCATTAGAGCATTGTCAAGAAAACATGAAACTGGATGTAATCAGAGTTGACTTGTTAAGGGAGACCTATAGCAACGCTGAATCACAAAGACAAATTCATCCATGTTCAAAGTAAAAGAAATTGCACTCGAACTGCTACCAAAAATTGTCAAGAACTTAATTCCATGGAATAAACACCAGTATCTGTTTTTATAGCAATTACGGTTTGAAAGGAAGCATTGCTGCCTAAAAATTGTTACTACACAAGCTAAATAAAGTTAAATGATTGAGATGGGCAAAAAACATGATTTTGGAAAATAAAACAATGGTCGCAAGCCTTATTCACTGTTGAATCAAAGTTCACAATTTTCTAAGTAAATCATTGTTCACAGTTTATTTGGTAAACGTGTGATAAAACAATGTGTGATCCCAAAAGTCAAGCATAGTGGAGGGTAGCCATGGTCAGGTGACGCCTTGCTGGAAAAAAAGTTAGTGATCTTTTGCAAACTGAGGGTACTATATATAAAAAAAATCAAAAAAAAAATACTAAAATATTTTTTAAAATGTCATCTTATTTTTTCATTTTTTTGAAAGAATGAATATATATATTTTTTATTATATTAATATATATACATATATATATATATATATATATATATATATATATATATATATATATATATATATATATATATATATATATATATATATATATATATATATATATATATATATATATATATATATATATATATATATATATATATATATATTTATTGAAAACAATGATTAATTAAAAGTTATTGGAAAAGTCTATTTTTTTTTTTTTTTAAAGTGAATATATACTGCATGATGTTTAAAATCTTATTTTACTGAAAATATGATTATTTTATAATACACAGTATAAATAAATTCCTATAATGAAAAAAACCTTTATTTTTATGCAAGTTATTGTTATGTAGCATTGTTTGCATAAAATTTTTTTTTTTAATTTTTTTAATTTTTTAAAGGTACAAATCAATAGAGACGAAATTATAAAAAAAAACTCAAAAGAAGCTCATATTTTTTTATATAAAAGTGAACCACTTTCTTCAAACAACAAATTTCTTATAAAAAAATATTATACAATTTCCCACAATAATAAAGAAAATTGTGAAAATACGTGCCTGTTGTTCTTATAAACAGTTGATAAAAACTTTTAATGAAATGATGTCATATAGGAAATGTTGTCTTTTTCTCATTTCTAAATTTTATTTTACTTGAAGTGTCTAGGATAAACAAGTCCCAATAATGGTTTAGAACTACTAGCTTGTCCACTGTTTAGGGTGCAAAAGATGCAGTTCGTCGATTGTTAAGAAAAATTATTATAATGCCACTGAAGTTGCAGGTTACGCAAAATGTCTAATTCTAAAATAGCACAATTATATCTTTTTTATCCAAAAGAAAAATCAAAAACAAGTTAGATAATTTCTGTTTTAACTAAAGTAATAAATTGTACACAGGAATTAAAATAATAATTATTGAGGAATAATAAGTAGATATCTGAATCAGAAACTCAAAAATTTATCAATACAACCAACGAGTCATTTTTTAAGAAACGGTTTCATAAGTAAGAATGTATTCTTTCAGAATGTGGCATATTCTTATTTTATTCATCTCCCCACAATAAAACTAATAATAGTCTAGTGTGACAGAGTTCAAAATAATTCTAAAAAATTTTTTCTAAAATATATGCACCAGAAATAGAAAAGCAAAAATTGTTTTTATTTTGTTTGGGTTACCAATGCCCATTTGCTTATATGTATATAAATCCTCTGATTTACCCTCAACTTCAAGACAAAAATTTTTAGTAAATTAATTAGTTTGAATAAAAATGGCTTAAATTATCATCCTTAAAAAAAAAGCTTTATTAATTTTCACTGCAAAAGTTAATTTCGTTGTTTGATACTCAGGCCATGAATGCACTGGCACCACTACACTTACCAGATACATAGCCTCTACTACCACAATCTAGGACACCTACCAACCTAGATCATTTAATTTTTATTAGCAAAGCTGGCATAACCCCAGTAACACACATCCATCAAATTTACCTAGTATTTTCCAAGTTTTTTTGTAACCAATAGATGTTGTTCAGACAAATTTCATTATATTCTTAGAATGATTAGAATAAATGGTTTGCTGTCTTCAGAATATTAATTTAAGTTAAATGATTTTGTTAATTATAGTTACTTTTACAAGTTAAATGATTTTGGCCTAAACTTGATCAATGACATTTTTAGATGGGTTACTGACAGTCCATCAGATATGAAATAAATGTGGTGAGACATGGGAGTTACCTACAAAGATTGCTATTGCCATGGAGTTCATTTTGCTGTATGAGAAAAGTATTATTTATATTATTTTATTAGAAGAAGAAATATCTCTCATACTTTCCAGGCTCTTCATGTTGTAGGTACCCTGGGAAAAGGAGATTGTGATCAGATAAAATCTGATGAAATTACTTTGTTTTTACTAAAAAAAAACTTAGAGATAAAAATACTAATATAGGTGAAAAATTATTTACTATTGTCTAATTCAATAAAATAATACTATAGTATTATTTTATTATTGAATTATTGACAGAAGAAACTACAAAATTGCTGGTTTACAATGCTATCAACATAATCCAAATTTATTGCTGAATTTGGATAAATTAAAATTATTATCCAAATTCAGAATTACCAGATAATATTTTAAAATACCAGAATAAAAATTTCAAAATAGCTTTAAATGTTTACATACATTTATTTCTACATGGAAGCAATTGTAATATAAAAAAAAATTAAAGCTGAAGAAGTAGCATTTACTTTTTTTAAATAGTAAAAATTTGTTTTTAATAAATTAATCATTAATTTTTTGAAAATTACTTGACTAACCACCCTTATTAATTTACCATCCCTATTAATCTATTACCCTATTAACCTACCACCCCTATAAAAACTTTTTAAACTTTTTTAAACTTTTGACTTTGAAAAGTTTTTTAACAACAAAATTAAACTTATACATTTAAAAAAACATCAGCATAGTCAAATGCCAACCCTAATTATGAGCTGTGGCTGTAAACTATTTTTAAATATTGACAAAATATAATAGAAAGATTATGAAAAGACAAAAAAAAAAAAAAAAAGAATAGTAGTTTAGAAAGACCATATAAATAATCTAAACTCATAATCATCTAAACAAAACTAAATAAAAAATTAATAACTGCATAATGAATGCACAAGTATCCTTAGTAAATTTATCCTTAGTAAATATTCTTAGTAAATGTATCCTTAGTAAAGGCATCCTTAGTAAATGTATCCTTAGTAAATGTATCCTTAGTAGATGTATTCTTAGTAGATACATTCTTAGTAGATGTATCCTTAGTAAATGTATCCAGTAGATTAACCCTAAGTAAATATATAAAATTTTAAGTAGATGTATATTAGACAGTTATTCACACATAGGAACAAAATTCAGTCAGCCTGTATGCGCCATTGTGCCTAACTTTAAAAAATCATTTGATCACTACAGATTCTTACTGTATCTACTGTTAAATAATTTAGTCAATAAAATAATTGAGCATAAAAATAGTGTAAATTAAGCAAAGTGGTAATGATGAAGTGGTACAATACCATCTTGTGCTTCAAGCTTTACATTTTAGAATCATAAGGTCGAGAAAGGGTTATAATAAATAAGAGGGTTAAAAAATGAATATCCTGCTTTATATGTCCCTCACTTCTTGGGGAAGTGAGCCAATAAAAGTATAAAGTCAAAAATAAATAAAAACTTGAAAAACTTTTTATAAACTACTTACCCAAATCTTCTTAATGCTTTAAATTCCATTGGAAAAACTTCAATCCAAAAGTCTTTTTGCTCATGACTTCCACATAACTCTTCATACAAGCACCTACATTAATTACATGGCTTTTTTAATAATGAAATTACTTTGTATTATTACAATAATACAAAGTAATTTTATTGTTAAAAAAGTAATTTCATTATTAAAAATACAAATATTTTTTAATAATGTAATTTCATTTCATTATTATTATTTCAATTTCATTATCAAAAAAATATTTGTTTGTCTATTTTTGGTTGCCTATTACAAAGCCAACTAAAAATAGACAAACAAATATTTTTTTCCAGTAAAACTTATTGCAAGTGAGTAAGATATTTGCACATTACATAAAAAATAGGAGTTTTAATAACTACTTGTTACAAAATAATAATAAATATTTCACTGTTAAGTACATATATAAACACTAATAGAGCAAATTTACATATTTATATTTCTATATTAACTCAAAACTACAGTTGGCCTTGGGAAGGTAAATACAATAAAAAAATAAAAATGTTTGATTCATGCAAATTTGACTTTATTCATAAAATTTATTTAGACATAAAAGCTTTAAATATATATATATATATATATATATATATATATATATATATATATATATATATATATATATATATATATATATATATATATATATATATATATATTAATGTAATGCGTAATTTAAATTTGAAATAAAAACTTAAAATTTTAACAAATACAACAAAACTATTTAAGTTACTATTTTAGTTTAGTGAAAGCTTTTAGAATACTTTTAGTAAATACTCTTAGATTTCTTTTAGAATACTCTTGTTTCTCTGCGCAGCGGACTTGTTTGTCAAGGTTTGTGTTTTGGAGTTATAGAGTTGAGAGAGGGTTATAACCACTATTAAGTAGCCTCCTGTAGTGGCCTACTCGGCCTTGAGGAGGTGAATAACAAAAAAAAAAAAAAAAAGATAAATAGATTAATTAGGAATGCGATAAGAAAACTTTTAGTGAATACTTTTAAATAAATAGATTAATTAGGAATGCCATAAGAAAAGCAATCCATATCAAGTACAAAATAATCCACTTTAAGTTCAAGACATGTTGAGAATTTAGAAAAGAACTTTTTAAATCCACAAAACTCAGCATTTTTTATTTGTGGACTTTAATTAATAAAACTACTGATGCCTCTGAGATAAACATTACAAATGTTATTAATAGAATATTACATTGAAAGCAAAGAGCCACCTAACAAAAACTGTTGAACTCTGTTGACCTTGAAAAAGCTAATCATAACACTATTACTTAGCTTTTTGATTCTCAAAAAAATTTGACAAATGAACCATTAGAAATGCGATAGTGATGTAATGGTAGAGCACTTGCTTCATAAGTTCCAAGTTCAATCCCCCTCGTGTCCCTGGTAGTACAGCGCTCAACTTGTTTCTCTGCGCAGCACCCTTGTTTGTCAAGGTTCGTGTTTCAAAGTTATAGAGTTGAGAGAGGGTTGTAACCACAAATAAAGTAACCTCCTTGACTGTAATGGCCTTCTCGGCCTTAGAGAGGTGAATTAACATTATAAAAAACTTTTTTGCTGTTTATTTCTGATACTATACCCTATATTGTAAAACAAAGTAATAAAAATAAAATTACAAAATAACACACTTAACTTGTCTTGTCTCGGATTACAAAGAGTATGAAATCTAGTGAGAATTATATATCTTTATGTTGATCAATTTATATCAAATGTAAAAGAAGTATTTTATAAGTGGAAATTTTAAAATATTAACAACCTGGCCCTGCTTTGCCATCACAGTTAATAAGAAGAACTTATGAATAATTTTAAAAAGATTACAAATACTTTTATTATATAAATATTCATTAGATGAAGAGAAGACAGCTTCAATCAAAATCTCAAAAGACCTTTTTAGTGGCTTCTCAATAAGAGATGACTTACTGTTTATTTTGTCACGCTATGGGTTCTTGAATTAACAATTACAAAACTCAAACTTTATAGGGAACCACTCCCTACAAATCAAAGTTGTTACTGATGCTATTGAAATAATTTTAAAAATAAACAGAGGAAAAGCGTATTCAATTAAAAATAAATCTAAAAAATATAAAAAATATTACAGTGGAGTGTGCTCTGTTGTCAAAACAAAATCAATAAAAAAAGATAAAAAAGATAAAACTGACAACAGCTGCTTTATCATATATATATACATATATATATATATATATATATATATATATATATATATATATATATATATATATATATATATATATATAATATATATATATATATATATATATATATATATATATATATACATATATATATATATATATATATATATATATATATATATATATATATATATATATATATATATATATATATATATATATATATATATATATATATATATATATATATATATATATATATATATAAAACAACTACATTTTCAAAATGTAGTTGTTTTTATATGCTAGAAAGATGATTGGATGTTAGGAGGATGATTGGATAAAACATATTAAACATAGTTAATCGTTTGGTATACAAAACGGAAAAAAAAAAGATTGGTTATTGAGGTTGCATATTACATCAAGGAAGTTCACAATTTTTATGTTGCACTTTATATAGATCATTATTCTTATAAATTCGAAATTTTTTTTTGTTTCCATAAGGTGGACACTTGCATTTTTAAAAACCACTTTAAAAGATCACAAAGAATGTTTTTTAAACAAACAAACTGTCAGTCATTTAAATCAACCAATAAATAAGATTGAAAGAATCTTAATAAACTTATTTAATATTATTAAAAACTATTTTATGTCTCAATCAATGAAAAACTATTCTCTGTCTCAATCAATGAAAAACTATTCTCAGTCTCAATCAATGAAAAATTATTCTCAGTCTCAATCAATGAAAAACTATTCTCAGTCTCAATCAATGAAAAACTATTCTCAGTCTCAATCAATGAAAAACTATTCTCAGTCTTAATGAAAAACTATTCTCTGTCTCAATCAATGAAAAACTATTCTCTGTCTCAATCAATGAAAAACTATTCTCAGTCTCAATCAATGAAAAACTATTCTCAGTCTTAATGAAAAACTATTCTCAGTCTCAATCAATGAAAAACTATTCTCAGTCTCAATCAATGAAAAACTATTCTCAGTCTTAATCAATGAAAAACTATTCTCAGTCTTAATGAAAAACTATTCTCAGTCTTAATCAATGAAAAGCTATTCTCAGTCTTAATGAAAAACTATTCTCAGTCTCAATCAATGAAAAACTATTCTCAGTCTCAATCAATGAAAAACTATTCTCAGTCTCAATCAATGAAAAACTATTCTCAGTCTCAATCAATGAAAAACTATTCTCAGTCTCAATCAATGAAAAACTATTCTCAGTCTCAATCAATGAAAAACTATTCTCAGTCTCAATCAATGAAAAACTATTCCCAGTCTTAATGAAAAACTATTCTCAGTCTCAATCAATGAAAAACTATTCTGTCTTAATCAATGAAAAACTATTCTCTGCCTCAATCAATAAAAAATTATTCTCAGTCTCAATCAATAAAAAAGCAAGGAAAATGTTTATAGTTGTTTCGCAGTATTAAAAATATACATTTTAATAAACTTGTAATTTTTGACATAGATTTTTATCATTTTATGAATACACAAAGTTTGCAACCATGATTTATCAAAAATTTAAAATAAATTCAAGCTTATTGAAACAAACTTATTGAGCAACCTTACCTTATTTTTTAACCTTGAGTTTCACAAAAATATTTTAAAACTAATTTTTTTTTTAAACCATAAAGCTGAAGTTTTATTATTATTATTTTTTAAGACTTTTTTCATTAAAAAATTCATTAATAAATTTTTTAAATTTATTGGACTCCCCAAGGCTGAGATGTCACAATACTCAAAGCGTTTAAAAAAACTTTTTAAAAAAATTGTTGTTATAACCTTCTCTCAACACTCTCTCTCAAACTTGAATAGACAAGCCTTTCTAAATTTTTTTTCTTCCCAAATAAGGCCATTGCAAAGAGAAACTGGTATGTAACTTATGACATTATTTTCCTATATATAAATTTTGTAATTGAACTTTTAATAGTTTTATTAAAATTTTAACTAAATTTTATTTTTATCTTTTTATCTTTTACTTTAATTTTTTACATATCATACTTTTATTTCATCATTTAAGTTCATTTGGGCTATTACCTACAATGCCATTGATTTTAATTTGATATAATGGACGAATAAGTAAAAAATTATAAATATAAAGTGGTATCTAATGTGGTATCAGAATAAATAGATTAGTAAGAATTGTGAGAAAAAACTTGTTTTCTAAAACAAACAAAAATATTCTGAATTTAACTTTAATCCTACTATAAACATCAATAATGTTGTTGCATAATTATTGTTGCATAATTATGTTGTTGCATAATTATTGTGGCTTTTTTTCTTGCTTTTTTTTATCTAGAAAAAATTGACGTTTTGTTTACTAATTTTTTCTTAAATAATTTCTTTTTCATTAACAAAAATGCATATCAAAAATTATCTCATACTCACCACATTATGCTCTATCACTTTGAGAAAAGTAGAAAGGCAGCCATTTTGCAATTTCAACAAATTTTTTAGCAAAGAGATCAACCAGCAAAAGCCAAGTTGAAAGATGGTTCAAGAATTACAAGGTGACATTTGCAGATGAAAACTTGCAGATGAAAGAAGAAGAGGACGACCATTGAAATTTAATGACAAGACTTTTCTGGCAGCCATAGTAGAAAACAAAAGCCTGACAGTACGAATGCTAGCTGATGACTATGATGTCAATCAGTTGATGATCATCAAACATCTCAAAAAGCTTAGAAAAGCTTGGAAATTAAATGGATGGATGGGTCCCCCAAAGACTGACAACAACGAAGCAGAGTGTGTGAGTATTTTTACTGATTTGCTGCAACAAAAATGAGCAAACTTTTAAAGAATCTTCTTAAAAGTAATGAATCATGGCTATTTATGGCATCTGGTGTGTATGGTTTATTCATGGCATGTAGTATGTATGGTGGGACAGAAGTTGTTTTTTTATATAAATTAAGTTTCAAAACAAAAATTTGTATACGTTTTAAAATAGTTTATACAAGTAAATCAAAATATGAAACAAAACTTTTTTAGCAATTATAAATTAAAACTTTTTTAACTAAATTTATAAAACTACAATAAATATCATCTATAATAAAATAATAAAATGAAACGATATAAATACTTAGATGTATTTATAATAATTAAAAACAATACCTTACAAATTGACAACTATATTAGTTATAAAATTTATTATCAGTTTATTTATTGTTAATATACTTACATTTGAATTTTAGATGAGCATTCATTTTGTTGAAGCAACAAAGTTTTGATTTTAACATTATTTTCAACTTGAACCTGTATTAGCTCCAGTTTTTCTTCAATGTTTTTTACTTTTAAAAGCAAATTTAACAGTTTTAAGCTATACTTATAGGATTCTGAAAATAAGTTTAACTTATTATAGCATCCAATCAAATTGTTCACCTTGCTGTAACACTAAAAAAATAATTTTAACTTATTATAGCATCCAATAAATTGTTCAGCTTGCTGTAACACAAAAAAAATTAATATACTTAGCAAATTTTTTTTAATAAAAAAAATAAAACCTAAACTTTTTTTTTAAATAAATCAAAAAATTAACTCTAAAAACATTTTAATGCAGAAAATTTATTTTACATAAGAAAATCTCAAGATCTTAAACTATCAGTACTCAAGTGACTTTTTTCTATGTGAATAAAACATTTAAAAACAATTGATGAATCATAGACTATAACCATAGGTTACAAAAACACTGCATTTTTTTCTATGTAAATAAAACATTTAAAAACAATTAATGAATCATAGGCTATAACCATAGGTTACAAAAACACTGCATTTTTTTAACAGAATTAGTTAAATTCAAATTAGTCAATAAAATTTAAAAATTTTAATTATGTAAACTATAAGTTTAATTCTCTGTAAAAATTGAAAAGTTGAAACTTAAAAATTTACAGGTTACAATACTTGACTCCTTTAAAAGTGATTTAAGACAGAGACAAACAAATTTTGAAAAAAAGAAAAAGGCTGGTATAGGGTGTATGACATTTTATGTAAAAAATTAATTGCATGCAATCTAAACAGCACAGGATACTTAAAATGACAAACTGAAACAATTTTTTCAGATTTGGGTAGATTCTAAATGGGTAAAAATATTAATTCATTTTTGTAAAACTGTAATTACTAACTGGTAACTGAGCCCAATACTACCTTGTAACTCATCAATAACTTGGTCTGAAGGGTATTAGTTTATTATTTTACTCTATTCAAAATATATTTATATATGTTTAGATTGAATATATAACACTATATTTAGATTGTTAGCATGTTAAAGAAATGTTAAAGAAATCTAGCTAAATATTTTGAGTTATTTTGTATTGACAAACTTATGCACATTAACAGCATAGTTAATGTAGGGTAGGGGGGGGGGGGTAATCTGAGCTCATTTTTACCTATTCCTGACTTAGAGCAAAAATTATACATAGCAAAACGATTTTTTTTTTGAAGAAAACTTAAAATCATGACATCATTTTTAGTAAACTACTTTCAAAAAAAGTTTATGTATAACTTTTTAAGATACCTAAGGAGCTCCAATTTAAATTGAATTCTATAGATCCACATAACCCTGTTTAGATGGGTAATGTGGGTCTAAGTTACATTTTTATCTTTTTTCAATGAAATATAGCAACTTATAGTAAAATATGACTGAAGTCATTGAGTATGTATTATATTTAATTTATTTGATCAAAAGCTTAAACATAATAGAACTATAATATATGTTTTAAACGCAAAAAACTTTCCTTGTTCAAACCGCTAAACTAGAAATGCAAAATGAATACTTTTTACTATCTCTGTTAGCTAATTTCCAAGAAATGCAGAGCATTCTTGTGATTCCATTTCCCTAATTTTTTTTATTTCTTTACAAATTTTTTAATATATAAATAAAATCATATAATAATTCTCCAAATTGAAAATTCATAATTAAAAGTCAAAGTATTTATAAAAGTCAAAGCATAGTGTTTAAGGAAGAATTTAAAACAAATAGAAATAGTGTTTAAGGAAGAATTTAAAACAAATAGAAATAGTGTTTAAGAAAGAATTTAAAACAAATAGAAATAGTGTTTGAGTAAGAATTTAAAACAAATAGAAATAGTGTTCGAGGAAGAATTTAAAACAAATAGAAATAGTTTTAAGGAAGAATTTAAAACAAATAGAAATAGTGTTTAAGGAAGAATTTAAAACAAATAAAAATAGTGTTTAAGGAAGAATTTAAAACAAATAGAAATAGTGTTTAAGGAAGAATTTAAAACAAATAGAAATAGTGTTTGAGGAAGAATTTAAAACAAATAGAAATAGTGTTCGAGGAAGAATTTAAAACAAATAGAAATAGTGTTTAAGGAAGAATTTAAAACAAATGCTTAATTGAAAGTTATCCAAAATTTTGCTATATATTAGAGATTCATTACCCTACAAAAGCAACATGTTTATATAATAAAAATTCAATGTGCAATCCCTCAAAACTAATATGCTGCATTATCTACTAGTGTTAATTGAAAACATGTCATTACATCTTTAATGATCATCTAAAGGAATCCATAGCAACATGATTCCAGAAAAAGGAATCCAGAAACAAAGTCAGATTTCTAATTTATACTAATTTTCATTTTAAAGGTATTTATTATTGTGTAAGCATTAGATTTATAACAGTACAAAACACATTGACATATAGATGCACATTACCACACCCAAAAATGTTGCTTATTTTAATAAAACTATGCATCATTTTGTCTTAAAACTAATTAAACTTAATTACCTGGTAATTTTTTTTCCAGATAAAACATTTTCTATTTGTTAGACACTGTTTTTAAAACCTTTTTTCTGAAGTTTAAAGTTTTGGATAAAAATCTCTCATTAACTGTATGCGCCATTTCAGATAAAAAGTATACTTAAGAATTTGTCTAGTAAGCTGATAATTAAAATTTAAAGAGCTGGTAACCACCTACAACATACAGAGAGCTGGTAACCATCTATAACATACAGAAGAAAAAAACTTCTACCTATTATCTTTCTTCTGAAAAACTAATTGATTGATTTGGTTTTGGTTGATTAGATACACATTACACCTTAGACCCACATTACACTATCCTACCCCAGGGCTTAATTTAACAGTTGGACATCTGACATTTTCTGGCTAAAACCTCAGATTGTCCGATCAATTTACAAAGTAATCTGACATTTTGACCAACGGGAACTAAATTCTACAAAATAAAGCTTGGACAGGAATGGTATGTGATTGAACTCTATTGCTGACTACGCAAACGATTTTTTTTGCTTAAAACTAGACCACGACTGTTTAGACGTTTTGATGATTTAAACATTTTAGAAATGCGCTGAAAAACGAAACGTTAAGCTAAACTATAACTAGGAAAAAAAATTGAAAAAACTTAAAGAATAAACAAAACAATACCTTACGAAAAAGAAATTAGCTATAAAATAAAACTAAAAAAATTCGAAGTTAAAATTAGTTTTGGTTACATTTTTAATTGCATTTGAAAAAAAATTACTTTTAAAAAATTATGTTTAATTAAAATTACGCAAAACGCTTTTACAAATTCTTTTACAAAACGCTTTTACAAATTACTTCTTTTCATTGTTTTTACAAGTTACTTCTTTTCATTGTTTATAAATGAACAAATTTTATATAATTTATTGAAAAGTGGAATTAAATTATTGAAAAGAAATATAATATTTTTATGTTATATAAATATTTTTTTTCAAAAAGTTGCGAAAAAAAATTGTTTAAAAAAATAACGTAGTCTTTTGAAAATCGTTATTTTTAATCATTTCATGCTTTAATTAATAAATCAAGCTCAAAAAAAAAAACTTTTAAACAATTCTTTGTAAAAATAGAAAAAAAAAATTAACTAATTTAACCATGGGAAGTTTTAATTTAACTTATTCAAAGTAACTTAAAAAAATAATCTTTTAAAAGATTTTTAGAAAGACATGGAAAAATAGTTTCAAACGTTTAAATTTATCATAAAAATACTTACCTACTAAAAAAAAGTTAAATATAACATTTAATTTACACATATAGTACATTCATTTTAAACAATCATCATAATTAATTTTTTATTTTATTTTAAGCCTTTGTGCAAAATAAAAACATTAACAAAGATCAAGTTATTCGTAACGTAAGAATTTTTTTTTTTGCATTTAAATTGTTAAAACATCAAAACAGCCGTTGTGAAATTGTAATGAAAAAATAATTAGGGTTTTTACTTAAAGCGTAAAAATTTAAGTTTATCTAAAAAAATATACCGATATTAAATTGAACTATTATATTAAAAAACAAGTTTACAATGAAATATGCTAAATAATAGGAAAAGAAACTACAACTTCACTAGACTAACTTTAAATAAACTGAATAACATGACAAAGAGTTCGATTGCATAACTTAGTTTCATAAAACCATAAAAATTATATTTTGAAAATTTGATTGGACACTGTTCATGGACACTGGAGATTGAGCCCTACTACCCTGACAATTTATTTTATACAACTTTATTGTATTCACCTCCACAAGGCTTTGACTCTATTTAAGGAGGCTAGTCTTCCATTCCTTAAATTATTACTACAAGCCAATTACAAGCCTATTACAATCCTATATCTCTAAAAGATAAACCTTGACAAACAAGGTGACTGAGAGGAGAAACAAGGTGACTGAGAGGACAAACAAGGTAACTGAAGAGAAACAAAGTGACTGAGATGAGAAACAAGGTGACTGAGAGGACAAACAAGGTAACTGAAAGGAGAAACAAGGTGACTGAGAGGAAAAATAAGGTGAATGAGAGGAGAAACAAGTTAAGCCAAGATAACCAGAAACATGGTGGGGATTGAAATTAAGTATTTGCTTACAAAGCAAGCAACCTACTGCTATATCAAAATTAAAATTTCTAAAAAATTTTCCAAAATATCAGAAAAATTTCAGGCGAGTGCCCAAAGTTTTTAAAAGTTTTTAAATTGTATGTAATCTTAAACTTTTAAATACAACTTAATCAGATTAATTGATCTAAAACAATTAAATTACAAAAAAAAAAATTGCAAAAAAATAAATAAAAACTGTACAGAATTAAAAATTATTATTATTACCCCAACCAATTTAGCACTGTTGGTTTATAATTAAGCAAAAATGGTTTGAAACCAAGATGGATTTTTTTGTAGACAAAATAAAACTTGGCTTTACTTTAATTTTATTGAATTTGAAAATACATTCTAAAAGTAAAACCTTTTAGCATAGCCCATTGTATTATATAACTGTTACTAGGCATGTAATTTTGGTATACACAGATACATACAGAGTTTATCAAGATTATGAAGAGATTATCAAGTCAAAGCAAGACTTTGAAGGTTATCAAAAACATGATGAGATCATCAAGTCAAAACAAAACTATCAAGGTTTATCAAGATTATGAAGAGATTATCAAGGTTATCAAGATTATGAGGAGGTTATCAAGGTTATCAAGATTATGAGGAGGTTATCAAGGTTATCAAGATTATGAGGAGGTTATCAAGGTTATCAAGATTTTTTCAGTAACTCATAAAAAAATCTCAAGAGGCCCAAAATTAAGATTTGTGTCATATTTTCAAGGATATATAATTTCTAAATATTCTTCTAATAAATGTGAAAAGTACTAAAAGAATAGAGAAATACTGGTATAGAATTAAAGAACTTAGTTGTCCTGTCTCTAATAATAACACATCTGGTAGCAAGTAATGTTTATTTGTAGTTGTTATTTTTATTTAAAAGCTTACCTCATTTAAGCACGATAACAAATTTTCCTCATCTTCATCTTGAAATAAAATCACAGAAAAATGTACCAATGTTAAAGCATTTTTAAATTTGTTAATTCCATATAGATAAGTAGACAACCTGTGAGCAATATTACTAATCCAGGTGCGCTCATCCTTGCTAAGTGGATACACATTTAACTTGGTAACCATAAGTGAAACCAAAGAATCAAGTTTATTTTCTAACTCATTCCTAATAAAAATATAAGTGTGTGTATACGTATATATATATATATATATACATATATATATATATATATATATATATATATATATATATATATATATATATATATATATATATATATATATATATATATATATATATATATATATATATTATATATATAAATATATATATATATACATATATATATATATATATATATATATATATATATATATACATATATATATATACATATATATATATAAATATATATATATATATATATATATATGTATATATATATATATATATATATATATATATATATATATATATATATATATATATATATATATATATATATATATATATATATATATATATATATAAAGGCCTTCTATATAGAAGGCCTCGACACTGTGCAGAAATTTTTTGACTGAGGGCCAATTAAAAAAAAAAAAAGGCAGATTAGTAAAAGTTATACAGCTTTCCTGAGATTAAACATTTAAATAGTTGACAGTATGTTTAAAAAATTCTTAATTTCTTATTGCAAAAATAGTTTATTGAGGTTAATTAACAATTTTTTAATAACTTTTATAAAGCTAGTAAAGCTAAATAAAAACATTTTTAATTGAGATTTTTAAAATAAAAGAAATTTTGTTTGTAAATAAGTAAAGAAATGTTTACATAAACTTAATTTTTTTGTTTAGTTTCTTTACTACTTTTGGGAGTGTGAATTAATGCAAAGTTCTTTAAAAAAATGTTTGCCAGTGTTTGGCATCATTTCTTTGATAATCTGTACAACTCTGCCATAAATGTAAACTGTCGAATCAGAAATATTCTGCAAACACTTTTTTCTAATAAAAAAAATATATATATCAAAATAAATACTATTGAGATAAAGTGTCAGATGGAATAGTTAATCCTCCCCTATTTAAATAAGTTTCATACTTTTCATATGTAATTGTATCATCTCCAATCTTTTCAGTGAAACATTTTTGAATATAACCAGCAATATAGACAATAGAATATAAAATTTCTATATTTATACTATGTTCTAGATCTGCTAAATTGTAAATAATATCTATTTCGTTATCTAAATCTTCAAGATATAAAGACTAAATCATCAATTCTAAAGACTAAATCATCAATTCCCATCTAAATCTTCAAAACATAAAAAACTGTTATTGCCATCATTACCTTCTACATCAATATTTAGCTGGAGCACCAGCTTAACATGTTGAATATGTATTTTTTTAATAACTGATTTAGCAGTTATAAAATAAGTACCACCTGATCCTTGACGTAATTTTCCAAAGCATTTTTCAATCGGATCAGAAGAAAACCAACCTAAAATTACATATTCATTTTCACTTGATAAAAGATGGCAAGACAAATTAATTAGGCCATAACAAGTATATGAAAAGGCATTGCTTGTATCTTTTGTAGGCTGGCAAATTTGTTTACCAGATGTTGGCTTCATATTATCAGCCATTGTTGCAATAGCAAGCAATTTTTTTAAATTTATGTCATCTGAAGATCTGATAACATTACAGGACTCACCACTATATCTAAGATTTGCATTAGGAAATTTAACATTTACTATTTTCCAGAAATCTATAATCAAATCTAAAAAAATAATTGCACCCTTGACACTTTCTTGGTCGATTTTAGGAGTTTTTAGAGCTGCAATTCTTCACTAAATACTTGCAAACAGGCGCTTATTTTTTGCCACTCTATTGATTTAAGATTTATTGATGTTTCCGTCAACTTAGACAACTTTAATAATTGGTTATAAACTAAATCTCTCAAATTTGCAATGTAAGATATTTCATTATAAATAAACTGCAACTGACCTAATTTTTCTTTCAGCCAATTATTTCTTATGCACTTCAAAAGATGGACATATAAAATATAAGTTCCATTTTGACTAGCCAAGGTTTTCCATCTACTGTTTTAAATTTAGAAAAAAAGTTTTGGTTATTATTTTTTTATTACCATCAGTAATAACGGCAACTACTTTACATTACATATAGAACTTTCTATTGTGTCTACAATTAATTTGCATTGGTCTAGTTGGAAATCTGATATTAGATTACTAACTGGTAAAACTCTTGTTAAAAATTCAGGTCCACCATAAAGATTTTTGACCGTAAATGAAAGTACAGTAGTAACTAATTTCTCTGGATAATTAACAGCTTTTCCAAAAATATTTCGACTTTGATATAATAAAGCAGCTTTTACATAAACTTCATCTATCAATAAAACACTTTTTTTTTTTTTCCTCAAGTTTGATAGCACAGAACTTAAAAAAACTTAATTATCTTGAAAATTTATTTTTGAAGTTATACGAGTTAAAGTTCGAATACTTGGCAACTGATAATCTCAAAAACTGATTGTAAGTGTAATGACTTGTTGCAAAATATTCAATAGGCCTGGTTATTATATGGCGAATAAACAGTACAGCCGCCAGAATGATCTTCCATTACATTTAGATGCTCAAATATTATTTGGGTTTTATGATACTTATTTTTAACTTTTAGATAACTTAGAGCTTCATTTAAAGCAGACTTTGTATTAAATGAAGTTACTCTGTTTTTCGAAAGAGGTTTAACAGCTCATTTTGACCAATGATGAAATGCTTGAAACATTAAACTCTAATTAACTATCAGCAAAAATGAACTCCCCAATTAAAAACTTTAGACTGAATAAAAATAGAATTGTTTTGCTTTTGAGTAATTATATAATTTTCAGTAGATAAGTACTTTTCAAAATCTTTAAATTTTAAATTATCAATTATTTTATACTCTTCATAATTCAGCTTTTTTGGCACCTCTTTTTGAAGAAGATAAAGTTTTTCTAATTTTTGGTGGTGGAGAGGATAGACAAGCTTTAGAGATATTTGAAAACACTGATGGAGGATTAATTGACCTCAATTTACCACGATATTAAGTAAACTCAGCATCATCTGGCCAATGCAATTTACAAACAATGCTATATTTTGTTAAAGTCCAGTGTAAGCAAGGAATACTCATAAACCACTTGTTTTTTTGATACTTAACAAGGTAATTTGTATACAGATATTTTACAGTCTGAAAACTTATAATTTAAGCAACTGTTTGGTAGGCAGCATTTTAAAGGCATCATAAATTGTTTTAAATATCTTTGAAAACAGACACTAATATTTTGCAATTTTAAACATCTTTTTAATCATCTTTCAGTCAAAAAATTTCCACACGGTTAGGGTTAGTCATAAAAAAATTTTTCAAAGTTGCTAAACTGTCAATGATCTAGAAAGTTGCTATAGGTGCTACTAATTGTAAAAAAAAAAGTAAAAACATTTAAAACAACAGGTATCTTGCGCTTGCAACATTCCAGCGAAAATTTACCCTTAAAAAGCTTACAGCTAAAAATGTTAGAAATTTATTGAGTACTTACTATGATACAAAGGCCATATCCAGGGCCAGCAAGAAGAATTGTTTCTATAGGGAAGGAAGGGGGGTGGGGGGGATCATAAGCATGCTACTAAAAAAAATTAAAAAACCATTCACCCCCTATTGCGGACCTTGTCCATATCTGAAACTTAAAATGAACATAAACGTTAAAGTTTTAGATAACACTAGTTCAATGAAACAATATAAAGAAATGTAAATTACAGTTAATTTTAGGTAAGCCTGTTCTGGATGCAGCACCCTGTAAAAATATCCCATGTCACGATTCATGTCCAAAATTGGTTGAGCCTGCTGCAGAGATATCTTTAATTGCACGCTTAACTGCCTGAGAGTGATTGGGTATACCAAAATTGAAATCAAACTGACGATGTTGAAGATTTTCATTCTCAATAGCTACTAGCAACGGTGGTGGTGAAAGATAAGCTGCATTCCAGTCCATCATATTAATATAAGTCAAAGGATTGGTGTTAATTGTCAGAAACACCAGAAAGAAATATATTTTTAGAGAAGGCAAAGCAGTTGCTGTTCTGCAACACAGGTTTTAATATTTTCCAATCTTCTACTCCAAGCTCATGACACAGCTTCATTAAGTAAAAAATTTTTTACACCATCAGCACAAAAAGGATGACTCATCTCAAAATTCTGTTTTCTTTTGTTAGCAATGGTTTAAATTTCTTGGCATTGTGTTTTGTAAAGATGCAACTTCATCACTATCTGTATACAGGGTGTTAACTAGAAATAAATTTGATACAGCATTTTGACAAAACTGGGGAATTTGTCAAAAAATTTCCTAAATATCTCCCCCTCTCCTCCCCTGAGATTAAAATGTGTACCAGAAATGTGTGGGGTCCTTTTTTTATATTCTTTCTTCTTCTACTCCACTTTAGCGCTGCGTACATTGATTGGACAGCGTCAAAAATAAAACAAAATGTAACATTTATTGAAGATGAATATGAAATCAATACAAAATTAAAAGTGGTTTTACAATGACAAGGCAAATTAAGCTACGATTTTAAAAGATATATACAGAATTATATATTTTTATATTATAAAATATTCAGCCTGTATTAATTATTATTAAGAATAATATATTTGATTTACTTTTAATCTTAATATATCGTTGCCGCTTTCATGTTAAGAGTATTTCTTTTGAATTTTTTTTTTTTCACTGGTGGGCATTAAAAGACAATTTATAAAGTAATATAGCGATTTATGTTCAATGAAAATTTCCGCTAATGATTCTACTTCTAATTATTATTCTACTTCTAATTATTATTCAAATTCTGTTTGACGTCCTTTATCAACGAACCCTTACACCATCATGTAATAAATTGTGTCATCAAAAGAAATGTTAAAAATAGAAAAATAAAAAAGGTTTTGAAAATAGTAAACACAAGCTCATAAATTTTATATTTCACACTTATTAGAGTTTAATTTTATAATTAATATTACCTTTCTTTATACATAAATCGCATAGCGAAATAAGGTTACAATTGCAAAGTCTCCACAAAAATAACAACAAATGTCTTTTAATTACAAAAGAATTACAAAAGATCACAAGCTATTGCATGTTATTGTGGCAACAAAGAATACCAATAATTATTTTTTCATGCATAGTCATAAAAGGTTATAATGACTATGGTTTATTAAAACATTAAAATTTGATTTTATGTTTTAAATTCAAGCAAGCACTTGATCTAGTTTTCTTGTTTTCTTAAATTTCTAGTACCAGTTTGTTGCAATTATATATTATATAACTAGATGTCTAACTTCGATCCGAAAAGTGAAGCCGTTTTTTGCCCTTTTTACAAATGGCCGATTAAATTTGTAAACAAATATTTTTAACTTTTCTTGTCTTAAATGAAGTAAATGTATTTAAATTTAAATATTATTTATGTCAAAGTGTTAAGCGGAAATTAGAATACTTGTAAAATTAAAAAAAAAACATTCTCGTTATTAAAGGTATTTAATTTACGTTTTAATATACATATTTAATTTATGTTTTAAATATAAGCAACTAGCAAAGTTTTTTCCTTATTAAATAAATTTCTAGAACCAGGTTGTTATAATCAAAAAACATTTATTTAACTCTTTTAACTTTTCAGCTAAAAAGGGTGAAACTTTTAAAGAAATAGCATTGTGGGTACCCACAAATGCTATTTTTTAAAATTATAATTTAAAATTTGTAATTTTTTAAATTGTACTTTATTTCTTGCTTACTTCTTTTTAATAATATTTGCTGTTGTTGGAATGCATTGCAACAAATTATTTGCAAATTTTGAGAAATGAATTTTTTTCCGAGAGATTTTAGGGATTTTTGGAAAATCCCAATTTTCAAAAAAGTTTTTTTCCATGAGAAATTTTCACAGTTATGCAAGCGCATAGTTATACCAATAGCATCAATTTTATTTCAAGTTTTAAGCAATATATTATAATTTTTTATGTTATTTTTCTATTAGTTTTTAACAGCAATTAATTTTCAATAACTTTTAGAATTATTATTAAACTTTAATTTGGCAAACTTTATTCGGAGAATTGGATTTTTCACTTTAATTTTATGAGCATTTGGGAATACCGCTTTAAACTTTAAAATTGGTAAATTTTTGGGATCAAAGTCTAGTGCACGCATAATTGCACCACTGGAACTACAAGGACCTCTTTCTTGTACATCCTTTATCAATAGCAGAAATGTTTTTCAGAAATGGTAAAAATGGTTCTTTAGTATGCAACAGGCAAACAAGCCATTGCATTGGTCTAATAATACTTTTGGCTGTATTGTTTACTGTGCTGTCACAAACAATTGCTTGCAGCGTACTTCTTGGTGTATTTGTAATTATTGATAGTATGTGATTTGCAATGTCAGATGCTTTACCTTTTTCTGGCATTACATAATTTATGTAGTTGCTGTTTGTAAATGATACAATAGCATAGTGCTCTGCCTTTATGCTCCTATGTACAGCAGACTTTTTAACAAAAGTTGTCTTTTTTCCCATCAAATCCAATATAATAATATCCAATATTGTTTCTGCCGCCAAAGATTTTTCTGGCTTCTAAGTTTTGCAGGATCTATTGCAGTTTCTGCTGACAATAGCTTCATATCTTTTAGCACTGCATTTACTACAAGACAAGCAACTCTGTTATTAATCTTGCATCTGTCCAAAGCTTTGCACAATTATGGATATTGCTTCATGTTTATGGCTGCTACAACACCATCAGATTTACCAATGAAAATTTAACTGTCAAGAACTTCATCACCCATTTTAAGTTGCGGTTCTACATCATCACCACTTTCATTATCAGCATCATCACTCATGTTGCTGTAGATGTAATTC